CGCCCATTTTGTAAAGGTCCTCATGACCTTGATCTTGCAACACGCATATGTAATGGTTTACGACCAGAAATCGTTACCAATACTCCGGAAGTATACTTATCACTAATGAAAAGATGCTGGCATCAAAATCCTGAAGAACGTCCTAATGTTATAGAACTATGTGAGAAATTAGATAGTTGGGCAACGGCTATACAACATAATCCTACTTCGATGATTTCCCGACAATTTCGAGGCGTTAATAGAGAAAGATCCGTATTCGAGAATCGAACTATTGACTCTATGGCAATATACAATAGTCGATTATTAAACTTTAAATCCCTTCACATTACACGATAATCACAATAATGTATTATTTAAATAACTGATATGAAATTTGGCAAAATCTAATGTTATTTGTAATGACATTTTAATTTTAGAGTGGTAAAATAAATCTAATTCCAGAGTGAGCGGATAATTTTTTTTTTTACAATACAATTTCTGAATATGTTAAGAAATTAAGTTTAGTTAAGAACATTCCCACAATTTAAAAAATTAACGTTTAATAACTTTTATAAAAAATGCTTTAAATTTTTTTACAATCGTATAAATAAAAGTATATTTGATAAAGTTTTATTATTATTATTCTGTATTATCGTTATTTGATTTATGTGCTACGATATTGTAGGCTAGATATGTTTTTTTTGTTCAACTTCTAAATAAAGAGATTTATCGTCATATACTAATTGGGCTGGAGTGGAAGAACTTTCCATACTCTACTAATTTCAGGCGATGTCCGGCTCCCATCCCTGTAATGGCGATAATACTGATTTGTCGACCCCCGTAGAAATTAATTTACCAGACCCTAATCATTAACGTCAACGATAAATAAAGTAAACTATATGATTAGTAATTTGAAGTCTTTTACGCAAAAAGCAAAAAATCAATAAAAGAATTTATTCATCCGAACAAACAGCTGCAAGAAATGATGCCTGAAAGAAAAGATTAGCTTCTATGACACTTGGAGAACAATAATAAAACTATCGAATCAATTAAAAGACAAGGTTGGCGCAAACGCCAAAATAATAATGGAAAAGAAATATAAACCCAAGCGATGAACGTAATATCCAATAAATCACAAATTATAAACATGTGCTATTATTATTAACTAACGCTATGAATTTTTAGAAAGTTTGCCGCTACAACTTGCATGCCAACTTTCTGATGACAATCGTAAGCTTTTAAAAAAAGTTTGTAGTGCAGTTTCTGCATTTAAATACAATTTATGCCCAATTTGTAAGGTTTCGCTATATTGTATTGGCACATAAAATGGGATTATGTAATAGATACAGTAGAGAAAAATCAATGCCAATAAGATTTCAGCCGAAAACGATATGAATCCCGGTGTATAAAGGAAATAAAGTATACTGATTGGTATATAGAAAGCCTGCAAACCAAAATTTTTATCTTTAGGTAAATTCCTATAGATTTTACGTTTGTAGCTATATCAAGAGTCCGTGCTCTTTCTGGACTTCTTTTTCAATAGCACATTCTTTTATAATAGATTACAAAAAATTGTGTGAAGTATATGTTTACAGCAAGGATTGGCTGAAGGGCAGAGATTATTTTCTTTGTAAATTATTAAATTAGCAACTACCGTTTAGCACTGTATACAGTACCCGGTGTGACACGGTTTTTTACATAGTGAAAAATTAAAAATCACGTGTATAACTTAATTGTTAACATCACATGGTAAATATAAATGATATTTTAAAAAATTGATCTACATTATTTGTCACGCTGGGTACTGTATACAGTGCTAAACGGTATGTCTTTCACACCTGCATTAATATAAATTTATAAAATAAGCTATATACTTATAATTAATATATATTCTAATACTCATTGCTAAAAATTTCTATTTCAAATTAAGAACTTAAGAAGTAGGACTCCCTTTTATTACTAGTTAATAATATGTTATAAACAATGTTAATCTTTATACAATAGTCTGGTTATTTAATTATTTAATTACCAGATCGTGTCGTAAATTAATAATTATTACTGTCATTACTATTAATATATTATAATATATGTATTTCTTTTTTAGAATGATTTATATACCGTATAATATTTGTAGCAGATGAAGCTAGAAATAGATGAAACTTGAATTCGAGAGTCTATATAAAAAGATGAACACTACTAAGCTCTTTTATTATAGTCTTAATTTAAATCACGATCCAGCTACAAAAAATGAATACATTTTAAAAATTTAACGACAGTAATATTCTGTTTGGGTTGATTTTAAATTTATAAATTTTGATTTGCCAATTAATATTATGGTGTATCCTCATAAGCTGCCACATTGCCCATTTTATTCAAAAAGGGAATCGTTTATTCCAACATTTTTATATATAGTACTTGTTCTTGTACATATGTACAGTTGTAGTACAGTTTTAGTACCGTTCCTCCAAATATTTAAATATTTTTATCGAATTTATGTTGTACTTATAAAAAAATTTGCGAATATTGCCTTTTTTTTGACAATAAATAAAACAGCAAAAAAATCGGGCACTGATTCATCTCATATGATTTGTCTCTCTTTTCGATTGGATTGATGATTGTGAATTTTCAATCCTTTTTAATGCACATTCTATTGGGCCATTTCTAATCCAGTCGGTATCATATTTATCC